TATTAAAATTTTCAGATCTAGTCCTACGACTTTTAAATCCTTGTCACATTTGGTCCCCGACTATTAAAATTTACAAATTTGGTCCCACGACTTTTAAAACATTGCCACATTTGATCCCCGACTATTAAAATTTTCAGATTTGGTCTCACGACTTTTAAATCATTGTTACATTTGGTCTATTTAACCTAAATTTTTTTTATCATTGATAAAATTTCAGGCAAGTGAATTATCATAAATGAACTTTTTTTTTTCTTGAACTTATTTTCCTCCCAAACCACTTTCTTCGTTTTTCCTCAATGGGACTAAATAAAGTTACAAACTATATATTTTATCTAATTTATAAGTTAATATAGTGTTGAATTAATGATACCCGGGTTGAACTTCCATTTGGAAGGTTGTAAGTTCGAGCCTCAGTGTAGGCGTTATTAGCTCTTTGTGTTTCAGTAGGTTGAGAAAGTATATGAACAGATACTACAATGTAATAGAGCTAGTAGCATTCAAAAACAAATGATATTATGATTGCAGAATACAAATATTATATACAAACTTTAATAATGCAAAAATCTAAGTTGAATAAATTAAAATTATATTAGAAATTTAAATTTATAAAAACAAAATGTTTTGTACAAAAAGTACAATTTATTTAATTAGAAGGGAGATTAATTGATAATTTTGAGATTAGAGAATCATCCGACAAAATCTGAAATTTTTAATAGTCAAGGACTAAATGTGGCAAAGATTTAAAAATTGTGGGATCAAAGCTGGAAATTTTAATAATCGGGGACTAAATGTGGTAAGGATTTAAAAGTTTTGAGACCAAATGTGGTAAGAATTTAAAAGTCATGGGACTAAATATGGAAATTTTGATAGTCAAGGGCCAATTGTGGCAAGAATTTAAAAGTCATGCAACCAAATCTGAAAATTTTAATAGTCAGTGACCAAATGTGGAAATAGTTCCGTACTCGTGGGACCAAAAGTGGAAATGAGTCAAATAACTCCTTTTGAGAACATCTGATTGATTTTTATTTTTATTTTTATTTTATTTATTTTTTATTTTTTGTAAAATGGCAATGTTATCCCTTTGTAATCCTTAATCCTTCAGACTCCCCTTCTCACCTTTGCGGCCGCCTCCTCTTTACCGTGTCACGTCGTTTGCGATCCACCTCTTCTCACCTTCGCGACTACCTTCTTCGATCCACCGTCTCACATCGGTTGCCGCTTCTCTCCAAGGTAAATTCATCCCTCCTTATATCTCGTTTTCTCATAATTGTTCTTCAATTTGTAGTTTAAATTTTCTTTTTTCGTGTCCCTTTTTTTTTTTTGTTGCACTTGTGATTAGCACGATTGGCAGCTCCTCATTCCATCCACCCTTCCCCTCCCTCTCTAGCTCACGCTACTCTGGCGCACGAAACACGCACAAAGGCAATAAGTAGCCTTTTGCCTTCTCTCTCTTCTGTGGGACCTAAAAAAAAACTTGGATCTTGTAGAGGAACTCTCTATTCGCTCTCCAAGCCTCCCTCTCCTCCATCCACGTGAATCTAAAAATTGCAAAAAACCTCCCCAAAAACCATTGATGGTGATGACTTTAGGATGTTATATGTAAGGTATTGTATATATTTTTGTGTTTAATAAGACTGTACTGTTCCTATATAAAGTACATAGTGTAATTTTAAGAAAATATTATACGTAAAGATATCATATTTTAAAAATAAAAAATGGTACATGTTTAACTACTCACATAATTTATACAAAATTACAAATACACCTTTATTGATTTTGGTCCCTCAATTATTTTTGAGGTATAGATGTAGATTTTATCTTTTAATTGTTATAAATTAAGTCAATCAATTATTTTGATTAAGTTATAAATCCAGTCTCTATCTTTTAATTATTGTAAATTTAATACTTTAATGAAAGGGTAGATTTGCAAATATTGGATAAGTGCTACATTTGTAATTAGATCAACAATTAAAAACCAAAATTGCAAAAGTTAAAAGACACCGATTACATCTATAATTCAGAAACAATTGAAACATAAAAGTGTGAATATTTTATTTAAAAATATAATACTTGTATGTACGATATTATAACATTTTTAAAAATTTTGATGGTTACAACTTATGTACGAGACTATAGGAAACATATTTTATATAGTCAATAGAATGGTACAGTATTTTAATGGTGTTTTGGTTCCCTTTTGTTAGTTAGTTAGTTTTTTTTTTTTTTTTTTTTTTTTTTTTTTTTTTTTTTTTTTTTTTTTTTTTCTAGTTTTTCATTTTAAAATATTTGTTCTGGTCCAAAATGGCTAGTGCCCACCAATATCATGCTCTTTAAAATATTGACTAATGGACGTCACGAGCAGCAATTCCTATATTGTATTTATCATGTTTTAATATATTAAATATATCAACAAAAACAGGTCATCAAACAGTAAATTATTACGGAGTATTTGTATCCATTATAATATTAATATTCCCATTGTGAATTGCATATACATAATACAAAATATAAAAGTTTGGGTTCTGAATCACTATATAGGATTGATGCAGGGACATATGCGCAATAAAGAAATTAATTAATTAATTTTTTTTTTGTTAGAGCCGAACTTAGGGTGCGTTTGGAAACCCGAAAAATGATTTTGAGAAATCATTTTTCAAAATTTCAATGTTTGGTAAGAGGGGAAAAATAATGTTTTAGTCAAAAAAAATATCTATATATATATTTTTTTAAGAAAATGACTTCTCATTTACGCCTCAACCCTCTCTACAGATCACGCCTCTGCTCTCACGCTCTTTCTCCTATTCTGCTCTCAGCCTCTCACGCTCTTCCTCCTCTTCTGCTCTCACGCTCTTCCTCCTCTTCTGCTCTCACGCTCTTCCTCCTCTTCTGCTCTTAGCCTCTCACGCTCTTCCTCCTCTTCTGCTCTCACGCTCTTCCTCCTCTTCTGCTCTCAGCCTCTCACGCTCTTCCCCCTCTTCTGCTCGCACGCTCTTCCTCCTCTTCTACTCTCACCTCACCAACTACTTCTTCTTCTTCATTTTCTTGCCATCTTCTTAGCACCAGGTATGTTTCTTCCCCTTTTTTTTCAGTCATAAATTATTTTTCTCGATGATTTTTTTTTCCAGATCTGACCATCTAAAATGGTTTCCTGGTCGGAAACTTTCGGAAACCAGTCTGGCCGACTGGTTTCCAATTTGAAACCAGTTTGGCCGATTGGTTTCTACCAGATCTTTGTTTGTAGAAATACCAGTGGTAAATTTTGTTTGTGAATTTTGTTTGTGTAATGTTGAAGTATATAATTTTGCTCATTTTCTGTAAAATGAACCAAATATACAAAGACAGTTTTATGTTGTGCAGTCAAACATTTTCTAAAAGTTTTCCTACTTTCTAAATGGACTCATTTGTGCACGGTGTTTCAATGCAAATAGATATTTATTAAACCAATAATTTATATAAAAATAATAATTATAAATAACAAGTGGACTCAAAGTATGTAACACACGAAATTTAATCATAATCCATTAATCCCCATACCGTTACTCATTATATTACTTTATAATAGTTAATTCACATGAGGCAAATAAGAAAATAAGGAAAATAAATATTAAAGAAAAATTGTCACCTCACACAAATCTTTGTAATCGGCTATAATCTTATATAAGGTGTATAAGGAAACTTTATATTTATACAATTATACTCCCTTGTTTTTACAACTTTAATCTTACAGCAATTCCACTGGTGAATTTTTACTCAATTTTTTTATTGACCTAGGTAAAAAAAAAAAAAAGGATATAAAATCTAAAAAGAAATAGAGTGGCGACCACTTCAGTTGCCCCAATAGGGCATGTGCCCCCATTGGGCAGCCTGCGTGCATGTTTACCCATATTTTTTTCTCTTTTTTTTTAAAAAATTTGTGATTTGCTAAAGAATTATTAACATATCTCTCCTTTGTCACGTCAGGCTCTCTTTTTTATATAATAGTCACAAACTCAAAAAAAAAAAAAAAAAAAAAAAAAAAAAAAACTCCATTGAGATTACCCAAATAAATATGTTGTTTTCATAGGTTAGATTGCAATAGGTTTTATTTAATTAGAGTGAAACTTTATAAGCATATTACATATACTAATTATATATTTAGTCTATATTTATTAATAAATAAATAAATCATAAGGAAAATGGTACTATTGATATGAAGTAATAGACTTAATCTTTCAATGATAAGTTACCTCACTACTACCAAATACTAAATAATTAAGGAGAGTGGTTGCCGGCTGATGACCACATGATTATAGTAAAATAACATTTTTTTCTCTCATTCAATATTGACATGATTTGGACAAAGTCTACCACCATACTCATAGTGAACCCTGGTCCACAATATAACAAATGATTTTTTTCTCTCATTCAACATTGATGTGATATGGACAGGGTCCACCACCATACCCACGGTGGACCCTAACCAATAGTATAACAAATGATTTTTTTCTTTCTCATTCAACATTAACGTGATCTAGACATGATCCACTATACTATTATAGAGCCTGACACACAGTAATAAATGATTTTCTTTCTCTCTCATTCAATATTGACGTGATATGGATATGGTCCACCACCATACTGATGGTGGACCATGGCCCACAGTATAACAAATGATTTTTTTTTTCTCTCATTCAACATTGACGTGATCTGGACAGAGTTCACCACCATATTAATGTTTATAGGTTGCTAGTTGCAGTAGTTGGTGATTACTATTGGCAACGACTCTCCAGTTCAAAGTATGTGCGTGAAAAACACGTGCCCGCTAAGCACATTATCGTAATTAAATTATAATAATATAATATAAATGGGGAAAGAAATCAAAGAAATGTATCTTTGGTGGCTAATAGAAAAAATAAAATTGCATTGGGAGGCTGCTGGCCTGCTGCTACCTTAGTGTGACTTTTTGCGCCTATCCGCAACATCAGCGAGAAACGGCGTCGCTTCCACTATATATACACTCATCTCTTTCATCTTGAGTCCACCAAAGACTCTGAAACTAACGAACACTTTCTCTCTCCATTTCTTGTTTCTCTCTCTACAGCAATGAGCGATCTTAAGGCCAAGTTTCTCGAGGTCTACTCCACCCTCAAGTCCGAGCTCCTCAATGACCCTGCTTTCGAGTGGACCGATGATTCTCGTCAGTGGGTTGAGCGGGTATTCTCTTCTGCCTTTTTTGTTTATTTTTTTTCACGTTGATCTGCAACTGCGCGAGATTGTGTGCGATTTTGTTGTGTTTTCACGTCGCTTTCTGGCTGCACTGTGTCACTGTCAAAGCGTACTTCTCCAGATTTTGCTTGCGTTTCATCGTTCTTGTTTTTATTTTGTTATTTATGGTCTAATTTCAATAAAGTTTTGATTTTTATGTTCCGCCTAACCATTTTTTGGTTCACTTTACTACTTTGGAGTCCTTTCCCCTTTTGCCAGTCAAGTGTAGTTCTCCATATTCAGTGTAGTGCTAAGTTTTAATCCACAGCTACTCTTAATCTCTTATGGCCAAGATCTAATGTTTTTTTTGCGAAAGAAGATATGGGGTGCTTTGTTGCATTGAACTGAACCCGAGTTTGATCTCTTTCATTTCCTATTTATGTGTTTGTGACATTAAGTATTTTTCTTGATATGGATGATATTTAATTTGTATTGGAAGATTTTCTTTTTGGTGGTAATGATGCTTGGTACTACTTCCTCTAAGTTTATAGGATCTTTAAAATGCCAAATGGAAGGAAGAAGCCAAGAAAAAATTAATAATATTCATTAATGATCCATAATTAATTCACCTAAAACTGATCTAAAAATTTCAATTTAAGAATATGTAATTATGGATGATCAATAATCATATAGCTAGACTTTGCATAGCCTTTGCTTTTTGTTTTGCCCAATGTTGTTGTTCTAATTTAGTTCTGGTGGTTTCATTTCAGATGCTGGACTACAATGTGCCTGGAGGTGAGAATAAAATAACGATATTAATCTGTTGATAACATTCCCCTGTTCTTCTATGTTTGACAGTGATCAAGATTCCTGGTATATCCGATAATAATTCATTTTCTTCTGGTTGCAGGGAAGTTGAACAGAGGGCTCTCTGTTATTGATAGCTACAAGCTGCTGAAAGAGGGGGAAGAACTAACCGATGATGAAATATTTCTTACGTCTGCTCTTGGCTGGTGTATTGAATGGGTATGCAATTCTATAGCTAAATTGTGAACCAAAAATTTACCTTTTTGTTTTTGGGTGTCTGATGGTGGCAAAATTTGCAGCTTCAAGCATACTTCCTGGTTCTTGATGACATAATGGATGGCTCTCATACGCGGAGAGGCCAACCATGTTGGTTCAGGCAGCCTAAGGTGTGCCCCTAAAGACAGTTTTTGCTCTCATATTTTTGTTGTTTAATCATATCTAGTGTGCATTTTATTTAAGGAAATGTTTTTGATTTGATACCTTTCATAGATTGGATTGATTGCTGCAAATGATGCGATACTTCTCCGCAACCATATTGCACGGATTCTCAAGAATCACTTTAAAGGAAAGCCTTATTATGTTGATCTGTTGGATCTGTTTAATGAGGTGATATTCTTTGTGCTTCTATGTCTAGTTACAAGGCTGGATTTTAATCTAATGCTAACTGTCATGACATTCTTGCGCTAACAGGTGGAATTCCAAACTGCCAGTGGGCAAATGATTGATCTGATTACCACCCTTGTCGGGGAAAAAGATCTGTCAAAATATTCATTGTCTCTGTAAGCAGAACTTCCATGCAGTTCGGTCTTGTGTTCTTTTAACATATATTATTGATCATTGAAGTAAATGTTTATGCATTCATGCAGCCACCGCCGTATTGTCGAATACAAGACTGCTTACTATTCATTTTACCTCCCGGTGAGTATAGTTTTCCAGTCCAATCAAACCTGTAGCCTATTATTCTATCGCGGATTGAATTTGTCTCTTGTTTCTATTATCTTCTCCAGAAATAGACTTGTCTGCAATTAACTTTTATGATGGACTGCCATAGCTTGGTCTTAGTGGAAACAATGCCTTGTTCTCCCCTTCACCTTTTACATAAGTTCAGAAGGTCAATTAAAATTTTATTTTTTATTTTTTATTTTTTATTTCTCGTGATCCAGGTGGCATGTGCACTTCTTATGGCTGGTGAGGATCTTGAGAAGCATGTTGGTGTGAAAGACATTCTTGTTGATATGGGAATCTATTTTCAAGTTCAGGTAAGCACTATTAACAGTTATTTGTTCACTTAAGTTATGGGTAATGGTAATAAAATGTCTCATCTAGTGGTATTTCAGCATTTCAAACACCCATTTGTTTCGTAATGGTTCTGAGAAGTTTACACAAATGATTTTGGTGTCCTTTGTAGGATGATTATCTGGATTGCTTTGCTGATCCAAAGGTTCTTGGCAAGGTATATTAAATGGAATTCAAACTATACACTTTATCTTAGATCTCTGTTTGACTTAAATATTTGAAATTGAAATTTATTGAGAAGTATTTTTGCACACTTTCAGATTGGAACAGACATTGAAGACTTTAAGTGCTCGTGGTTGGTTGTGAAAGCACTGGAACTTTGTAACGAGGAACAAAAGAAGACACTATATGTAAGTTTGAAAGTTAATACGCTTTTTTGCCACTAAAAACAACACCAAAATGAACGTAACTTCAGTAGACCGTTATCCTAGTGAGTCCATAGCCATGGATTTTGGCGATTTGGGCAAGGCCTTGAGGTTAATACTGTTGTTATTCCGTTCATTCTGTAATTAGCTAGTATTTAGTAAGCGGGGAGCTGAGTGGAAATTATGGATTTTGTTTTGACAGGAGAACTATGGAAAAGAGGATTCTGCTTGCGTAGCTAAGATTAAAGTGCTTTACAATGAGATCAAACTTGAGGTTCAGTCCACTTGTTCGCTTATTTGACCTCGAGTATTTTGTTATTTGTATGGTGGTTGAATGTGTGTGTTTGTGTGTTTCAGGATGTGTTTGCAGAATACGAGAGCAAGAGCTATGAAAGGATAGTAAGGTCGATTGAAGGCCATCCAAGTGCAGCTGTACAAGCAGTGTTGAAATCATTCTTGGCCAAGATATACAAGAGGCAAAAGTAGTTTGGATTGGATGGCACATTGTGTTTGTGTTGTTTTAATTTCTTGTGGCATAATATTTTCATGATGGATCTTCTGCATTTGTTGCTAGGCTTACCATAACTGAGTTCAGTTCCCCATTTACTTTGATATCATGCTCCTGTTTGTTGTAGTATTCACTCTGATGCCCAGCATTCTAAGTTGAAATAAAACTGCATTTTCTTTTCTTACCCCCCACATTTTGTCTCTCCATTGGGGAGATAAGCAGCCAGCAACACAATAAGTTTTCAACACGAAACCCGCACGGGCTTTTAGCTCATTAGTTTAGTAGATAGTATTTGATAGAAGCGATCAAGGTTTGAATCTTGGGCAACGGTAGTGTGGGGAAGCAAGGGAGGAAAGAGAAGAGTTGGGTTCTCCCTCCAAATTTGGTTTTTTTATGGGACCTGTAAGGAGAGAGAAAAAGGAAAGGAGAGGATGGGATGTCATGCATGTCTAACACAGGCCACGCACGCGTTCAGTTTTTTGTTTGTTTGTTTGTTTGTTTTTTTTTTTTTTTTTCCTCATCTCTCCTAATTGACATCCCAAAAACTAATTGTTATATCGTGGATGTCCATAGTGCATTGTGGACCCTCGTCCAATACGCATAATGTCATGTTATCCCCATTTTATCTTTGGTATCCTAGGACATTCCCATATGTAGGCAAATTTAATTTTTTGTAGGACTTGTCAAGAGAAAGAAAAAAAAAATAAAAAAATAAGAGGATGGGATGGCGTGCGTGGCTTGCACAAACTGTGCACGCTAGCGCGTCCGGTTCTTTGTTACTTGTTTTGCAACTTTCTTAGATGATTTGCAGTTCTCTTTGGTTAAGCGTTCAGCGAACCAGGTAGGCCACCTGCTAACTAGGCAATATGGTTCTTTGACTGAGCATATTGCTTGGTTTGATGTTCCTCCTTCGTTTTCTGTAAAAGCTTTGTTTGTTGATAATGAAATCTAGTTCTGTTTTTGTTTAAAAAAAATACTTTATAAATAAAAAATATTTTGCTACAGTTACTACAAATAGTAAATGTTCATAATAAAAAGAATTAATTTTATTTTTGGTCCCACGACTTTTGTGGTCTTATCATTTTTTGTGCACAATTTTAGATTTTTTCAATTTTTATCAATTTTGGTCCTTCCAACCAAATTGACGGTAAAATGTGGCCAAATTTTATATTTTAAGGGTAAAATCGTCATCTCAAAGAAAGATCTTCAATATCTAAACAAAAGAAAAATCATATTAAAAGAAAAAGAAGGATTTGTCTATCAATGCGATCAAACACCTATAAATATTTAGATATTGAAAATGTTTTCTTGGGATGACGGTTTTACTCCTAAAAATATAAAATTCGGCAATATTTCACCGTCAATTTGGCCAAAAGGACCAAAACTAATAAAAATAACAAAATTATGCACCAAAATTGAAAAAATTTAAAGTTGTGCACCAAAAATGATAGAAGCTCAAAAGTTGTTGGACCAAAAATGAAATTAATTCTAATAAAAATTAGATCAAAATTTTTAAAAGTACAAAGACCATGACCACTACTCAGCCTTGTTAACTCAAAATTAGGCAATGGAAAAAAGGAGAGTAGATGAAGTTGGGACTTGAAAGAAAAGTTATAATCAAATCAAACTTGGAAGTTGCATGAATGTAACATTAATCTTTTATTTACAATACAAGAACATGCACACATAATGCATCAACCAATACCAAAAATGACATCACATTTCTCAAGTTGTTGATCTAGTCCAGGTTGTTTCCGATGTTGTAGCATTTCCATAATACACCTGTTTCGACGACTCATCCCAGGAAATTATGAATTTTGTTTTGACAGGAGAACTAACTGTGGAAAAGAGGATCTGCTTGGGTAGCTAAGATTAAAGTGCTTTACAATGATCTCAAACTTGAGGTTCAGTATGTTTATTTGACCTGAATTTTTTTTCCGAGTATTTTGTTATTTGTATGGAGGTTGAATGTGTGTGTGTGTGTGTTTCAAGATGTGTTTGCAGAGTACGAGAGCAACAACTATGAAAAGATAGTAAGGTCGATTGAAGGCCATCCAAGTGCAACAGTACAAGCAGTGTTGAAATCGTTCTTGGCCAAAATATACAGAAGGCAAAAGTAGTTTGGATGGATGGCACATTGTGTTTTTGGGACATGTAAGGAGAGAGAAAAGGGAAAGTAAAGGATGGGATGGCGTACGTGTCTTGCACCGACTGCGCACGCTAGCGCGTCCGATTCTTTGTTTGTTTGTTTATTTTGTTTTTTTGTTTTGTTGCGTCAGACATGCTTTTTTTCCCCTCTCTTTTTCTTTCTTCTATTTCCCTCATCTCTCTCCTAATTGGCACACCAAAAACTAATTGTTATATTGCACTGTGGACCCTGGTCCACGATATAAATTGCCGTACTATAAAAAAAATATCATTGCTATTGGAGATGCTCTTATCAAATTTATATTTGAACTTTAAATTTTTTGATAATTTCATCCAAAATTTGAAACTTCCAAAAAATATTATTTTTGACTCAACAAATATCCACCTTCATTAAGTTTTTCTTTTCAAGAACAAAAATAGATCTTCCAAAAAGTTTTAAATATATGTGATATTTAAATTTGGTTTAATCTGTCAATAACCTTGTAGTCCAGTGACACCAAGTTGCTCTAAGAGATTATAAGTTCGAGCCACATGCAGCAATACAAGCAGTGTTGAAATCATTCTTGGCCAAAATATACAAGAGGCAGAAGTAGTTTGTATGGCACATTGTGTGTGTTTGTGTTTTCTTGTGGCATAATATATATTTTCATGAATGATGGATCATCTGACACTTTTTCTAAAAAGAATATTCTAAGCATATTCTCACACCAAATTTTATTTAACTCCAACCCATTTACACCAAAACACCAAATTTCTACACTAAAATAATTTGATTTCTCAATTATTAGTTCGAATTTAATTAGTTTAATACTCCGTATAATTTAGTTCGAACTTAATTAGTTTAATATAAAATAGGGAAAATGGCACTTTTTCCCCCTATGTTATGTACTTATAGCACTTTTTCCCCCTCAATTATTTATGTAAGCACATTAGCCCCCTCAATTATTTTAAAAGTGGTGGTTTTCCCCCCTAATATATTAAATTGACATTTCTACCCTTAAAGTAAACATTTTATTTATTTTACTTCTCCAACAAATTATTGCGTATATGTAGCGATTACCACGGTTCGGTTCGAACTGAACCAGACACTATAGCAATCGAATTAAAAGTTTTCAGTTATGATTCAGATCTAGAACCCAATATTTGGATTTCAATTTATTAAATTTAAGAATAAAAAAAAAACTGGATCATGAACCGGCGGTTCCGGATCCCGTTCGCGATTTTGAACCGTCTTTATTTTAAAATTTTATTTTTTATTTTAAAATAGTTTAAATTCAACAATAAATGTATTTTATTTTTTCAGTTCGGAACATGAACCGGCCATTCCAGTTTGCGATTTTAATAAACTCTAAATATCACGTTTTGATTATAAATTGTAATTGAAATATTTTGGTTTGGTTACTATAGTATCTGGTTTGAACCAAATTATAGTAATAATTTATTGGAGAATAAAAATAAATGAAATATTTATTTTAGGGTAAATATGTCCATTTAACATTTCAAGGGGAAAAAGAGCCACTTAAATAATTAAGGGGGAAAAAGTGCTATAAGTATATAACATAGGGGGAAAAAGTGCCATTTTCCCTATAAAATATAAGTTGTGATGTAAATAATAATTTTTATTAACATTAATTTTTATACCATAATTATTTAAAAAAAAAATCGAATTAAACAATATTTTTTAAAATTTTAATTTATTCCAAAATAATAATATAGCATAAAATATCTAGTACATTTAATTGTTAGAATTACTATATGTTTGATGTATTTAAAATTTTAATTAATATATATTCAATATTAGTCTTGTTTCGATCGTCTCAATGAGATATTTAAAATGGTATAATTTATATTTAATAATACAAACTTTAAATATAAGTATTTAACAAAATAAAAAATTACATATAAACAAATAAAGGATACATTTGAAATTATAAAAAGAAGTAAGGGCAAAATGATCTATTACTTTCCTATTCTACATTTGCCGTGGATGAACAGTGCCACGCCATATATGGTGCGACACTGTTCATTAATGCCAAAACAATTGGCGTTATGTCGTTTTGCAGGCATACATTGGAGCAGCTAATTTTGCAGGGATGGTGGTTTGGCGTTGGAAAATGCAAATTTGGTGTTATGTTGGAGTTGCCCTAATATATCTTATCTTTGGTATCTTAGGGAATTTCCCTATGTAGGCAAATTTAGTTTTTTTTTTTTTTTTTTTTTTTTTTTTTTTTTTTTTTTTTTTTTTTTTGGGACTTGTCAAGAGAGAGAAAAGGAAAAGGAGAGGATGTGATGGCGTGCGTGACTTGCACAGACCGCGCATGCTAACTTCCGGTTCTTTGTTTGTTGGAGAAATCACATTTTTGGTCCCTCAATTAGTGTCCAATCTGCAATGTCATCCTTAGTTCCCAATTTGAACACATTTGGTCCCTCAATTATTCGACCATTAAGCATATTTGGTCCTTCTGGCTATGACTCCGTTTAACACCGTTTCAAGCATGGGTAAAAGTGGAATTTCACATAACATTTGTTTTCTTGTTTTCACCCCATTCCTCACCGAACAAATGCGTAATTAATGCTTTTTTCAATCACAAATCCCACCCGGGCAAAGAAAAAGTTGTTTACTTTGTTATTTAAACACAGAATTTTGCGACTTTTTTCAATCTAGATCAGGCATGATTGCAACACACAGTTCTTGGTCGGCAGATGCCATCAAAAGCTAAAATCTAAAGATCCAAGTTTTCTCTGATAAAGCTTAACACTTTGATATATCTTGAGCTTGAATTATGTATAATCACAGTTCAGACCCAATAAGTTGAAGAAAGATAGTTTTTTTTCCGATGTCATAGTATGATAAAAATCAAGATTTACAATTTTATATGATTTATTTCTTTTTTCTCTGCAACCCATCAATGCAGGGCCATAAAAAGAAATACTTCGTAAAAAAATAATTTATTAAAGGTGTGGGGCGGGGTGGGGTTGGGGACTAAAAAAAGAACATTAAGATAAAAGAAACACCATCCCTTACTGAAGCCAAGG